TCAAACAGCTGATGGTGAGCCTGTGTTAATAACACCACTTCTAATCTTTCAATTGAAGCAGCTATCATTAATTTAAATATATAGACGCACCTCGTTAAATGTGATCACTGCTTATGTTTCCAACAGTAAACTGCAACTAAAAACTGATATTATTTCCAAATGAATTAAACAAAGGTCTCTCTCAGAGTCTCATTTTAAAATGCTTAACTTAACAGCATTACAGAGTATATTTAAAGCCTGGTAGCCCAACTATGGGTCGTTTCACACTTTCTGACAGGCCTCATCTTTGCATCTAATTGGAGCCACTGAACTGTGCCTCTCTCCTGTTTGTGCCGTCAGTACCTTTATTACCTCTATTTTTTAAAGAAAACACCTGACAAACAATGACTTACTAAATGGTACAGATCATCGACGATGTTTGTTTTGGTGAGTGAAATTATATCAATTTGAACTAATGAGCAGATGTGTGTGTCTGTGCACTGCAGCAGTGCTCTTTCTGAATGCAGTTTGTTAGTTGATCGTTTTTGCACTTTACCCTTTTATCCAAATATGGCGCTTCTGGTTACGCAAAAAAATACACCAGTAGCTAACATTTATAGTTTTAAAGAGTTTTAAAGAAATGATGAAATCACAGCTCATTCATGATGTTTGTTTTTCAACCCAAAAACTGGACCATCAAAGTTATTTAAAATAACCAAAGAGCAAAACAAATAAATAATTGAAGTTAAGAAATCATTACGTGAGAAGTCGAAGCATCAAAGCGAACTTTTTGAAAATCTGCTAATTGTATCAACTACTTAATGATTTTAAAAGCTCTTTGTTTTCCATTATTGTCTGTAGTCCTGCTGTGATACGGTCCCACAGAGTATAATACTGCAGAATCACACATATTCTATCTGCTCTGCGTCCTCATGCTGAGGAAGCACGCGCTGACGTTACGTTAAATCATGGCGACGGGACTCTCCCGTCAGGGAGAGGAGCTCTTTTGTAACACGCAATTCATCAACGGTGGCGCCCATCCAGGACAAACCCAGGA